CATGGTGTGGCGGGGTGCCGAAGCAGGAGCGCTCCCGCCCAGACAGCGGCGGTGGGCCTGGCGCCCGGGACGCCCCTGCCGGCCACGGAGCCCGGGCCCCTCTCCCTCCTGGGCCTGCCCCCTTCCCCTCTCCGGCCTGGTCTCCCCTCATCCAGCCCGGCCCCCACGCGGGTCCCACAGGAATTTCTCTACATTACAAATCGGGTCATGTGACTCCTGCCAGACCCTCTCCATGGCCTCCCAGTGCTCTGGGAAGGAGGCCTGGCCCTCGCTGGTGCAGCTGTCTGGCCTCCTTCCCCCCAACTGGCGGCTCCACGTCCTGTCCAAGACCCACAATCTCCAAGTCCCAATCCGCCTTCCACCGCTGCTCGTCGCTGGAAATTCTCTCCTATCAGTCCCATTGCTGGATTCATTTCTTCTTTTCTTTAAAAAAAAAAAATTCCTTCAAGCCCCCAAAATGCAGATAAAATAACACAGCCCCCCCCCCCACCTTTTTTTTAGAGAATCGAAAACAGGCACTCAGAGGCCAGCAGATGGCGCAGGCCTACAGTGCTGGGCTTCTACGTGGTCGAGCGCAGTTCCCGTCCCGGACTCGGTGGCTTAAAACCCACGCTGGGCATGTGTGCCCGCGTGCCCAAGATCCCAGGAGGGAACAGCGTCGTGGTCATGTCACTGGACTCCCATGGTCGCAGTTCCTGTCTTGGACTCGGCAGCTTAAAACTCACACTGGGGGAACCAGCAGTTAGCGTAATGGCCATGTCGCTGGACTCCCACGTAGTCGACCGCGGCTTGAGTCCTGGACCCGGTGGCTTAAACTCACGCCAGGCACGTGTGCGTGCGTGCCCAAGATCCAGAGAGAAGAATGGAGGAGAAGGGATTGCAGTGTGACCATTCCCCCTGGGGGTAGATTTCTCGCTTTCTATCTCTCTGTCTCTCTCTGTCTGGCGAGCGCACGTGCCCTATAGCAAAAAACTTCTCAAAAAACAAAAACAAAAAAAACCCTCACACTGGGCATGTGTGCACGTGTGCCCAAGAGGAGAATGGAGAAGGAATTGCAGTGTGGCCATCTCCCCCGGGGGGGGTGTGACTTCTCGTTTTCTGTCTCTCTGTCTCTCTCTGTCCCTTTGTCTCTATGGAGAGTACATGGGCCCTATAGCAAAAACTTCTCAAAAAAAGAAAAAATCTCAGGAGGAGACTGGAGAAGGGACTACAGTGTGGCCATCCTCCAGAGGGTGATTTCTCACTCTCCCTCTCCTGTCTCTGTCTCTCTCTCTCCCCCATGAGCCCATGTGCCCTAAAGGAAAAACCTCTAAAGAAAAGATAAGAATGGGGACTAGCAGATGGCATAATGGTTATGTTGCTGGACTCCCATATAGCTGAACACGGTTCAAGTCTCGGACCAAGTTGCTTAAAATTCATACAAGGCAAATGTGGGAGCATACCCAAGATCCCAAGAGGAAAGTGGAGGAGAAGGGACTGCTGCATGGCCAGCCCCTTAGGAGGTGATTTCTCGCTTTCTGTCTCTCTAGCGAGCGCATGCGTCCCTTAGCAAAAATCTCTCTTAAAAAAAAAAAACATTTAAAAAAAAAAAAGGAAGGAAGAAAGAAAACAGCCACTCAAACCAAAATCTACACGTTCATAGCCAGCGCGGGTCCCAGGGGCACAAAGACAGAAACGACCCCACAGAGAGACGGGGAAGGAGTGTGGTGTGCTCATGTGCTGAACATTACACAGCCGCGGAAGAAGTGACCTTCGGGTACTTGCGACAACATGGGAGAGCCTCTGAAAAATGATGCTGAGGGACCAGCAGCTAGCATAATGGCTACGTCGCTGGACTCCCATGTAGTCGACCGCAGTTCAAGTCCCGGACCCGGCGGCTTAAACTCACACCAGGCGCGTGTGCATGCGTGCCCAAGATCCCGAGAGGAGGGACCAGCAGGTGGCGTGGTGATTAAGGTGCTGGACACTCCCACATGGCCGACCAGGGTTCAAGTCCTGAATCTGGTGGCTTGCTTTCTCACTTCCTCTCTCTCTCTCACTCTCAACCTCTGTCTCTTTCTGGTCAAATTAAAAATAAATAAATGAATAAATAAAAATAATTAAAAAAAAAAAGATCCTGAGAGGAGAATGGAGGAGAAAGGATTGCGGCATGGATTTCTTGCTTTCTATCTCTCTGTCTCTCTCTGTCTTTCTGGCGAGCGCGCGCACCCTATAACCAAAACCTTTCCCCCCCCAAAAAAAAAGAAAAGAAAAAAAAAATGATGCCGAGTAAAAGAAGCTGATCACGGGACCAGCAGGTGGCGTGGCGGTTAAGGCACTGAGCTCCCTCATGGTCGGCCATGGTTAGAGTTCAGGACCTGGCAGCTTGCTTTCTCACTTTCTCTCTCTCTCTGATGAGCACACATGCCCTATAGCAAATTAAATAATAAGAAGAACAATAAATAAAGTTAAATACATAATTTTAAAAGAGGTTTTTGCCCTGGAGTGCATGTGCTCTCTGGGGAGAGAGAGACAGAGACCATGAACACAAAGGGAGAAATCTCCCCTCCAGGGGGGACAGCCACTCCGTAATCCCTTCTCCATTCTTCTCCTGGGATCCTGGACACGCATGCACACATGCTAGGTGTGATTTTCAAGCCAGGTCCAGGACTCCAACTGCAGTCAGCCATGTGGGAGTCCAGCAACTTAGCCATTACACCATCTGCCGGCCCCGAATAATTCTATTTATTTATTTATTTATGGGGGAGAATTTTGCTAGAAGGTGTGTGTGCTTGCCAGAGAGATAGAGAGAGATGAGAAAGACAGCGAGAATCCCTGCCCCCTCCCAGGGAGATGACCATGCCATTCTCCCCCTAGGATTTGGGGCACACACACATATGCGTCCGGCGTGAGTTTCAAGCTGCTGGGCCTGAGATCCAGACTATGCTTGGCCACGTGGGAGGCCTTAATCACCACGTCACCTGCAAGGAAGAAGAAGAAAGGAAGGAAGCTAGTCACAGAAGGAGTGACATCCATACTGTATGACCCACTTACATAACGTGTGCACGTAGGCACAGCCGTAGGGACGGACGCTGATACCTGGTGATGGGGGCAGGGCAAAGACACGGGCATGCCTGCATGATGGGCGTGGGGCGTGTGCTGGGGATGGTGAAGGAGCCCGGAACTAGGCCGTGGCACGGTTGCACAATATGGGGAGTGCACTTAGTGCCATCAGATTGCTCACTTTAAAGTGGTTAAAATAGTCCATTTTAGGGCATTTTACCAAAAGTTAACACAGAGGTGCACAGGTACTAGTTCTGAAATATTAGGGATACGCCGGACTCCCCATTGCCTCCCTCCAAGATCTGACCGCCGGGCCCTTATCAAACACAACCTCCACCCCAAATCTGATGCTTATTACTTCCACAGATGTTCTTAGACTTTTCCTCCATATGTACATGCCTTTAAAATATGTAGGGGACCAGCAGTCAGCGTAATGGCTATGTCGTTGGACTCCCACGTAGTCGACCACGGTTCACGTCCCGGACCCAGGGGCTTAAACTCATGCCAGGCGCTTGGCGAGCACATGCGCCCTATAGCAAAAACCTCTAAAAAAAAATGTAGTATTGGGACAGGCAAGTGGCATGATGGTTAGAGGCAGTGCACTCCCACATGGCTGACCACGGTTCGAGTCCCAGACCTGGTGGTTTGTTTTTCACTTTCCCTTTCTCTCTGTCCCTTTCTGGTGAAATTAAATAATAATAATAATAATAATAAACACAATAAAATAAAGTAGATAATTTTTAAAGAATTACTTTATTTAACTTTTTCATTATTTACTCATTTATTTTATTTTAATTTGACCAGAGGGAGACAGAGTGAGAGAGAGAGAGAAAGAGGGAAAGTGAGAAAGCAAGCCGCCAGGTCCGGGACTTGAACCAGGGTGGGCCATGTGGGAGTCCCGTGCCCCTAACCACTGCACCACCTGCTGGCCCCCATAAAGTAGATAATTTTTTAAAATGTAATGTTGTGGCCATCGGGTGCTATGGTGGTTATGGCTTCCACATGGCTGATCACGGTTCAAGTCCTGGACCTGGAGGCTTATTTTCTCACTATCCCTTTCTCTCTCTCTGTCTCACTGGTCAAATTAAAATATAACACATAAAATTAAATAAAAAAATAATTCTTTTAAAAAACGTGGTGCTACCAATCAAGTGCTTTTACAAATCATGCTCCCGATTCACTATCGTTTCTCCTCTCTGAGAAGCTGAAAATATCCCTGAGACTATTTGCAAAACCTTCTAGTCCTCACTTGCAACCTCTGCAAAAAGGCAGAGCAAGCATTCGCCTCCTTCATGAGGCAGAGAGGAGTAAGCCGATTCGAATTTGCAAAGCCCTGCGGAGAGAATGCTGTCACTCGTTCTCACTGTTGGCTTTATTATGCCCCTTATTTCTTCCCCTTTTCTTCTCTGCGTATATGACAAGCGCCTAGGGTTCGGGTTCAGAAAGCACTGAAGGGTGGAGCAGGAAGGACTACTCCCTGGAGTCAGGCATGTCGCTGCTTTCTTCTGGACACCGCATAAACGAGCGGAGAGGTCACGTCTCCGCCGCCCTCCCCTCCACCCTCCTCTGCCCCTTCACCTTGCCCTTGGCGTCTCCCCCTGTCTCCACACACGGCCTCTTCTTTCCTCGTGGGGTGGCTGGCCTGTCCTTTGGCCCTCAGATCTCTGGGAGACACTTAGCTTGTTCCTAGCCACACGCAGCGAAATGCAGGGCCGCGAGCTAACCTGCTGCTGAGGTCTTTCTGTGCGTTTCTGAGCGGATCTCTCTGAAGAAGAAATTCCTGGAATTGCTGGTTCTACTGCTGTTCCACGTAGGAAAGGAGCTGTTTGCCCAAACTTGCCAACCGGGCGGACACGCAGCGGACCTCAGACTGCAGGTGCACTTCTGCAAACGCCCTCCCTGCTCTCCGTGAGGGTCTTGATGTAGCACTTTGGTTTCGTCCTGCAGGTTTCCAATGAAACATCGTTGCCTCCAGGAAGACCTCCAGAATCACCCCCACTCTCGTGCCATCTGAATTCAGAGCCTGCCCCGTTCCTTGCATTCCCACCGCATGAGTTTTCTACAGTAGAGCGGACCCCTCCCCTGGGCCGGGATGGGTCTGTCCGTCTGCCTCCCCCCGCAGACCTGAGCTCTAAGCAAGTGGAGTTCCAGGGCCCGTGTTGGCGCCACCGTCGCTCCAGCACCAAGGACAGAGGTAACCCATAGTAGGTGCTCTGTCGGTCCCGGCCGCCTAGGGCCGAGTGGAGAGCTGCGGGAGCTGGCCGCGCCGAGCAGACGGCGGCTCCGGGCGGGGACAGGTGT